AGTTGTATGCCAGGCTTAGGCTTGGTTACAAATATTTACTGAGTTGTAGGGCCGGGCTTAGGGTTTTGGGTTTAAAATACTGACTGATGTTGAGTGGGGCCAGGCTTAGGTTTGGGTTTCAAGTAAATGACATTTGGGGGGCCGGCTTAGGTTTGGTTACAAAATTTACTGATGTGTAGTGGCCAGCTTAGGCTGTTACAAGTACTGACATTTTGGGGGCCAGGCTTAGGTTGGTTACAATATGACTGATGTTTAGTGGCCAGGCTTAGGCTTGTTCAAGACGACTATTTTTTAGTGGGCCCGGCTTAGGTTGTTAAAGTCTGACGATGTTGTAGTGCCAGCTTTGGCTTGGTTACAATACTGACTGATTTGTATGGCCAGGGTTAGGTTTGGTTACAAGTACTGCTGATTTGTAGTGGGGCCCGGCTTAGTTTTTTTACAAGACTACTGATGTTTTATGGGCCCGCTTAGGTTGGTTTCAAGTCTGACGATGTTGAGTGGCCAGGCTTGGGGTTCAAGTACTGACTGATGTTGTAGTGGCCGGGGTTAGGCTTGGTTTCAAGTACTGACTGATTTTTAGTGGCCCGCTTTGGTTTGGTTACAAGACTCTGATGTTGTAGTGGCCGGGGGTTTGGTTGGGGTTTAAAATACTGACTGATGTTTGGGGCCAGGGTTTGGTTGGTTACAAGACTGACATGTTTGTGGGGCCGGCTTGGGGTTTGGTTTAAATATTTACTATGTTGTGTGGCCAGGCTTAGGCTTGGTTACAAATACGACATGTTGTAGTGCCAGGGTTAGGTTTTGGTACAAGTATGACTGATGTTTTTGTGGCAGGCTTTGGCTTTCAAGTACGACGGGTTTAGTGGCCAGGGTTAGGCTTGGTTACAAGTACTGACTATGTTGTAGTGGCCCGCTTAGGGTTGGTTCAATACTGACTGGTTTGTATGGGCAGCTTAGGCTTGGTTACAAATATGACTGATGTTTAGTGCCAGCTTGGTTTTGGTTACAAGTACTGACTATTTTTTAGTGGGCCCGGTTAGGCTTGGTTTTCAAGTACGACTGATGTTGTATGGCCAGGGTTAGGTTGGTTACAAGTACTGACTGATTTGTAGGGCCAGGCTTAGGGTTGTTACAATAAGACCCGATGTTTTTTTGTGGCCAGCTTAGGCTTTGGGTTTCAATACTGCTGATGTTTAGTGGCCAGCTAGGCTTGTTTTTCAAGTACTGCCCCATGTTGTTTGGCCAGCTTAGCTTTTACAAGTATGCTGTTTGTAGGGCCGGCTTAGCTTGGGTTTCAAGTACGACTGGTTGTAGTGCCAGCTTAGGCTTGTTACAAGTACTGACTGATGTTGTATGGCCAGCTTAGGCTTGGTTACAAGTACTGACTGTGTTTTATGGCCAGGTTTTGGCTGGTTTTTCAATACTGCGATGTTGTAGTGGCCAGCTTAGGTTTTGGGTTTCAAGTACGACGATGTTTAGTGCCAGGTTAGCTTGGGTTTCAAGTAGACTGATTTTGTGTGGCCAGGGGTTAGGGGTTTGGGTTTCAATACTGACTGATGTTGTAGTGGCCAGGGTTAGGCTTGGTTACAAGTACTGACGATTTGTAGTCCAGGCTTTCTTGGTTACAATACGACTGATGTTGTATTGCCAGGCTTTGGGTTGGTTTCAAGTACTGACTGAGTTGTAGTGGCCAGGCTTTGGCTTGGTTACAAGTACTGACTGATGTGTAGGGCCAGGGGTTAGGCTTCTTACAAGTATGACTGATGTTAGTGGCCAGGCTTAGGCTTGGTTACAAGTACTGCTGGGTTTTGTATGGCCAGGTTTGGCTTGTTACAAATACTGCGATGTTGTATGGGCCCGCTTAGGCTTGTTAAAAAGTACTGCGATTTGTAGTGGGGCCAGCTTAGGTTTTTTACAATACCTGATGTTGAGTGGCCAGGCTTAGGCTTGGGTTTCAAGTACGACGATGTTTAGTGGCCGGCTTAGGGTTGTTAAAATACTGACTGGTGTTGTAGGGCCAGCTTTGGGTTGGTTACAAGTACTGACTGATGTTGTATGGCCAACTTTGGCTTGTTACAATACTGACTGTGTTGTAGTGGGGCCCGCTTTTGGCTTTTGGTTACAAGTACTTGACTGATGTTTGAGTGGCCAGGCTTAGGCTTTGGGTTAAAAGTACTGCTATGTTGTAGTGGCCACTTAGGCTTGGTTACAAGTACTGACTGATGTTTAGTGGCCAGGCTTAGGCTTGGTTACAAATACTGACGATGTTTAGTGGCCAGGCTTAGGCTTGGTTACAAATACTACTGATGTTTTTATGGCCAGGCTTAGGCTTGGTTACAATACTGACTGAGTTTGTAGTCCAGCTTTGGTTGGTTAAATACTGACTGATGTTGTAGTGGCCGGGTTAGGCTTGGTTTCAATACGACTGATGTTGTATGCCCACTTTGGTTTGGGTTTCAATACTGCTGATTTTTGGGGGCCAGGCTTAGGCTTGGGTTTCAAGTAGACTATTTGTAGGGGCCAGGGTTAGGCTTGGTTTAAAGTACTGACTGATTTTTTGTGCCGGTTAGCTTGGGTTTCAATACTGACTGATGTTTATGGCCAGCTTAGGCTTGGTTTCAAGTCTGACTGATTTTTTAGTGGCCAAACTTAGGCTTTGGGTTTCAAGTCTGACTGAGTTGAGTGGCCCCTTTGGCTTGGTTACAAGTACGACGTTTTTTAGTGGCCAGGCTTAGGCTTGGTTTCATCTACTGATGTTTAGTGGCCAGGGTTAGGCTTGGGGCAATACTGACTGATGTTGTAGTGGGCCCGGGTTAGGCTTGGGTTTCAAGTACTGACGATGTTTTAGGGCCAGGCTTGGGTTGGGTCAAATACTGACTGATGTTGTAGTGGCCCGGTTTGGGGTTGGTTACAATACTATATGTTTAGGGCCAGGGTTTTGGGGTTGGGTTTCAAGTACTGACTGATTTGTGGGGCCAGGGTTAGGTTGGGTTTCAATACTGACATGTTTTGGGGCCAGGCTTTTGGGTGTTCAAAATGACGATGTTTTGGGCCAGGGTTAGATTTGGGTTTCAAGTACTACTATGTTGGGGCCAAACTAGGCTTGGTTTCAAGTACTGACGATGTTTAGTGGGCCCGCTTAGCTTGGTTTCAATACTGACTGATGTTTGAGTGGCCACTTTGGGTTGGTTACAAGTACTGACGATGTGTAGTGGCCAGCTTTGGCTTGTTACAAATACTGACTGGATGTTTGTAGGGGCCAGGGTTAGGTTGGTTTCAAAAGGACTGAGTTTGAGTGCCAGGCTTAGGGTTGGGGTTTCAAGTACTGACTGATTTTGTAGTGGGGCCAGGCTTAGGCTTGGTTACAAATATGACTGATGTTGTAGTGGCCAGGCTTAGCTTGGGTTTCAAATACTGCCTGGAGTTTGGGCCAAGTTGGAAACAAACAAATATTTAGTGCAGGCAAGGCCTGTTAAACTTGGCAAGTTTTGGGTAAAAACAACAGAAAAAAATTGAATTTAAAACTTATTAAAAAAAAGTTTCCCGAAAAAACAAAATTTTTAAACTTGTCAAAAAGTAAATTATTGAGAATAAAACCAAGTATTTTAACCCTTGGGGCCATTCCAAGGGATAATTCTTTTTAAAAGGAAAATAGGGGGGACAAAAAACTACCCCTTTCAAAAATCTAAAAAACAAATATGATTTTTTTTAATAGTAGATTTTAAAATATTTTTTTTTTTAAATTATTTTATTTTTTTTATTATTTTTACTCAAAATATAATATGGTTTTTTTAAAAAAAAACCCAGGCCACTTTTTGGCCCCAAAATCTAAAAAATTCATTCAAAGTTTATCTCTATAAGGATTACAATGCTGAGTTTACAGAATTTGGTTGTTGTGTGGTTTACATGTAGTGAAATAATAATTACAGAGTGTACCACTAGAACACCTAGCATGGCTAGGCATTTCGGGCAGACTTAAATTAAATCTTAAGTTTAAAATATTACAAAATTATGAGGTAAGTTGGTATTATGGCTAAGTGACTAAATACTAGTTTGTGAGTTTAGCAATGTGAATGCTTTTGTTTTGGCACAGTACATAGTTTCAGTATTGGAGTATCACAGGATTCATTATTTTAAGATTGAGATTAATATTTCTGTTTATGGTCAAATGGGTGAGTGAGTGTAAGTGTGAACCACCAGGTGGTATTCGTGTAGTTAGTTGACGGGGTGTATCAGGGAGATAAGATGTTTTCTAATGGTAGTTTTGAAGGTGATGAATGTGTCTGCAGTTCTAGAGTTCTCAGGTAGGGTATTCCAGATTTTAGGGCCTTTGACATACATTGAATTTTTGTAAAGGTTTAGTCGGACACGGGGAATGTCGTAGAGATGTTCGTGTCTGGTGTTATGCCTGTGGGTTCTGTCACAACTATCAAGAAAACGTTTTAGGTCAAGGTTGATATTAGAGTTTAAGGTCCTGTAGATGTAGATTGCACAGTAGTAAGTGTGGATGTACTGAACAGGGAGTAAGTTTAGATCTATGAAGAGTGGGGGGGGGGGGGTGTTGCCAGGGATGGGATTTAGTGATTATTCTTACTGCAGCTTTTTGTTGGGTTATTATTGGCTTTAGGTGTGTTGCTGCAGTTGATCCCCAAGCACAAATAGCATAGGTGAGGTATGGATAAATAAGTGAGTGGTATAGTGTGAGAAGGGCATTTTGCGGCACGTAGTATCGTATCTTGGAGAGGATCCCAACCGTTTTGGATACTTTTTTGGTTATGTGTTGGATATGGGTGCTGAAATTCAGGTTGTTGTCAAGATATAGGTCTAGGAATTTTCCCTCATTATGTCTGGTAATTAGAGTGTTGTCAATCTTAATGTTAATTTGTGCATCTCCTGCTCTGCTACCAAACATAATATAGTAGGTTTTGTCAGTGTTAAGCGTAAGTTTATTGGCTGTCATCCAAGTCAATATTTTGATCAGCTCCTCGTTAACAATGGTGTTGAGGGTGAGAGATGACATAAGTCGTGTCGTCAGCAAAGAGAATGGGTTTCAGGTGTTGGGATACGTTTGGAAGATCATTGATGTATATGAGGAAGAGCAGGGGACCAAGGACACTTCCCTGCGGAACTCCAGTATCAAGTGGCCGTGTTGTTGATGCTGTGTCTTTAATGGTGACATACTGATACCTATTAGTAAGGTAAGATTTGAAGTAAGCAAGCGCATGGCCTCTTATACCGTAATGCTGCTATGTATGATAATCTATGTAACTATTTGTGTATACCTGAATAAACTTAATTACTTAATTATACATGTAATCATCTCATTGTACTCAACTAATTGTGGTTGCAGGGGTCGATTCATAGCTCCTGGCCCCACGTCTTCACTGGTCGCTCAACTATGTATGATAATTGTACTTATATGTACCTGTGCCTGAACAAACTTACTATGGCCTTTCGTGCTTAAAAATATTTTATTACATGTAAACTACATTTTGTATACTGTAGAAAAGAAATAAAGTTGCATTGTATTATATATTATATTGACTTTTTTGGGTTATCCTTGGTAATTTACACGTATTCTACTATGTATAATATTTTATGTAACTGTATCTATGTGTACCTACACCTAAATAAACTTAATTACCAGTGGAGAGGACTGCAGGCTCGATACAATGTATGCTGTCAGTCACCTTACTAACCCACCTAGGAGGAGGGTGCAGCGTGATGGCTCTCATTCTCTTATCTTAGAGGTACGTCTCTCTTGATGAACTTTTATATATTAAATACACTGTTATTCTGTGTTACTGCATCATACCAGGTGTCTTCACCCAGGTGGAATTTACATTATATACGATGGTTATATGAGTGTTTTTCCTCCTTGCTCAGTTGCCATGCAATTGTGTGTGACCCAGTCGGGTTTAGTGTATAAAATGAATGTTGTTGTTGTTGTTGTTGTTGTTGTTATTATTATTATTTTATTATTATTATTATTATTATTATTATTATTATTATTATTATTATTATTATTATTATTATTATTATTATTATTATTATTATTATTATTATTATTATTATTATTATTATTATTATTATTATTATTATTATTATTCAACTGTCTTCAAAAGGAGTTACATAGCTGTTTTAACTTATAATGTTTAAATAATAAGATATAAGGACCCCAATGGAAATAAGTCACTTTGTCTGACTTTCTTGGGTTATCCTGGTAATCTACATATGCTACTATGCATGATAATTTATGTAACAATATTTGTGTGTACCTGTAAAGAATAAACTTACTTATGGGCTCATGATCCAATGAATTTAAGCTACTCTTTTACTAGCAGTTACTAAAGTAATTGAACTTCTTTTCCAGTTCCCAGAATGAAACCTCCATTCCTCCCAGGTACTGTGTCCCATACAGATTTAGCACTCCCTTTGATTCCTGTCACGTGAATTTATATTTAATAAATATTGTGAGGGCCAAGTTAAAGGTCTTTAAATTATTGTTTGGAAAATATATATGTATGTTTGTACTATGGCAAATATATATTTGATTAATATAGTGGAAACCCATATTGGTGTAAACCCTGTGGAGGGAATGTCAGATATCCTAGGTTAAGTCATCACAAAATACCAATTGTATAATTATTTATCTATATTGAATATACATTGATTTATTAATTCTAAATATTACTGTATGCATCATAATGTATACAATTTACTTTATAAATAAAACTAAGCTATAGTATAGAATAAAAAAAGGCTAACACACATAACCTTCCCTTATTCGTAGTACATATATCTCCTTTATAGTGTAATAATAAGATATTATCTCCTTTAAATAATAACAATAAGGTAAAAGGGCCCCAATGGAAGTAAGTCACTCTAACTTTTTTGGGTTATCCCAGGTTCTTTACACATATGCTGCTATATATGATAATCTATATATGTAACTGTATTTGTGTTAACCTGAATACACTTACTAATACCATGGCTTCTCTGTATGGCTAATTAATGATCCCAGATGGACCGAAACATTAACATAAGTTTCAGTCTCCTGTGTGTAGGTCATTTGTGTATTAACCAACTGTATGTGTGACTCTCACAGACTGTCTTGTAAAGATTTATTTATTTCTTTGCAGTATTTACAATGTGCAATTACAATTTTGCTTTGTTAATTACAAAGAAAGTCACTATTATGCTGGGGCATTTTGGGCAGACTAAACCAAATTCATACAAACTACTTTAATACTAGTGTTTTGAGAAGAGTACATTTTTACTATACGGTAAAAGTAGGTCTTAGACAGGGATGTGTAATGTCACCATGGCTGTTTAATATATTTATAGATGGGGTTGTAAAAGAAGTTAATGCTAGGGTTCGGGAGAGGGGTGGGATTAAATTATGGGGAATCAAATACAAAATGGGAATTGACAGTTACTTTTTGCTGATGATACTGTGCTCATGGGAGATTCTAAATAAAAATTACAAAGGTTAGTGGACGAGTTTGGGAGTGTGTGTAAAGGTAGAAAGTTGAAAGTGAACATAGAAAAGAGTAAGGTGATGAGGGTATCAAATGATTTAGATAAAGAAAAACTGGATAGCAAATTGGGGAGGAGAGCGTAGGGTGAAGAAGTGAATATTTTCAGAATATGGGGCAGTTGACGGTGTACCCGCCAAATGATATTTATGAAGGATGGGTTAATCTAGGATTGATGGATGGAAAAAAGGTAAGTGGTGCATTTGAGGTATTTGTGGAGACAAAAAACGTTTATTCTATTATGGAGGCAAAGAAGGGAATGTATAAAGTAATAGTAGTACCAACACTCTTGGTATGGGTTTGAAGCTGGGTTGTAAATGCGCAGCAAGGAGGGGAGGCGGTTGGAGGCAGTGAGATGTCCTGTCTATGGGCATGTGTGGTGTAAAATATTAGGCAGAAAATGCGGAGTGTGAAATTAGGAATGTGGTTGAGTAATGAAAAGTGTTAGTTAGAGGGCTGAAGAGGGGTGTTGTTGAGGTGGTTTGGTCATGTAGAGGAGAATGGATCAAAGTAGAATGAAATGGAGAGCGTATAAATCTGTAGGGGAAGGAAGGCAGGATAGGGGTCCCGTCCCTCGAAAAGTTGGCAAGGAAGGTAAGGGAGGTTTGGTGGCAAGGCTTGGACTTCCAGCAACGTGCATGACATGTTTCGATAGCAGTGATGGAGACAAATGGTATTTGGGACTTAACGAGCTGTTGGAGTGTGAGCAGGGTAATATTTAGTGAAGGGATTCAGGGAAACGGGTTATTTTTATATAGCCGGACTTGAGTCCTGGAAATGGGAAGTACAATGCCTGCACTCTAAAGGAGGGGTTTGGGATATTGGCGGTTTGGAGGGATATGTTGTGTATCTTTATACGTATATGCTTCCGAACTGTTGTATTCTGGGCACCTCTGCAAAAACAGTGATTATGTGTGAGTGAGGTGAAAGTGTTGAATTATGATGAAAGTATTTTCTTTTTGGAGATTTTCTTTCTTTTTGGGTCACCCTGCCTCGGTGGGAGATGGCCGACTTGTTAAAAAAAAAAAAAAAAAAAAGTACATGGTTTTGCTCTTTATGGTAATCTGCGTTAACAAAATGTCTGAAAAGTAACCTGAAGGTTGTTCCAATTAGGATAGAATATTCTTAACATAGGTGCAGAGAAACATATAGGACAAGATTAACTGCAAACCCTGGAAATTCTAAAATTGGCAGATAGAAACAGTTAGACCTAAACCATATACGTATAAATTATTTTAAAAATTGTGTTAGGAATTGTTTTATTAAAATTTTTAAATGGTTAGGAAGCAAAATAAGCATTGTTCCAGGGAAAGTAAACATTATTATGCAGTACCCCCACCTGTATGTACCAGCATCATATGCCCATACCTTTTGTAAGGCTATAAATGACTGGAATAAATGACGTCAAGACCAGTAATAGCATGAAATTCCTCCTGGAGAGTGCAACAGCTGCAATAAAATGTCTTGTATGTTGTGTATGTGTTTTTTTACCTATTACATTCCATATCTGCATCTCTTTCAGTTATATTTCCATGTTATTTGCTATTTCCATTGTATATTCCATCTAGCATTACTGATGTTTTTGTTTCTGTGATTACCTGATGATACCTGGAGAGGTTTTAAGGGGTCAATGCCCCTGCACCCTGATCTGTGACCAGGCCTCATGGTGGATCAGGGCCTGATCAACCAGGCTGTTACTGTTGGCCGCACGCAATTTGACATATGAATCACAGCCCGGCTGGTCAGGTGCTGAGTTTTAGGTGCCTTCTCCTAAAAAAAAAGAAAAAAAAATCACGAAGATTAGCCAGGGTCTACTGGCTATCCCCGTATGTATGGCTGGAGCAGTTGAACAGATCTTTGGACCCTCTGACACTTGCTGTGTTGTCTCTTATTGTGCTAGTGGCACCCCTGCTTTTCATTGGGGGGATGTTGCATTGTCTGCCGAGTCTTCTGCTTTCATAGGGAGTGATTTTCGTGTGCAAGTTTGGTGCTAATCCCTCTAGGATTTCCAAGAGTATGTAATCATGTACCTCTCCTGCCTGGATTCTAGGGAGTACAGGTTGAGGAACTTCAAGGGTTCCCAGTAATTGAAGTATTTTATCACAATTATGTGTGCCATGAAGGTTCTCTGTACACTTTCTAGGTCAGCAGTATTACCTGCTTTGAAAGGTGCTGTTAGTGTTTGGTTCATTTGCCTTGTTAGAAATTCCTTCTGCATTTGTATATAGGACTTTTAAGGAAGAAGCATTGTAAATACCTCTTGACAGACCAGTTTTGTTATAGTAAGAATGTCCCTTACAGTCTTATGGCAAGAAGTTATTCTGAGCAGCCAAGTGGAGAGTAGATGTAGGATTATCCATGATTAAGTAGTACAGTGTTAGTATGATAGATTAGGTATCATTTAGTAGTCTGTGGCTCTATTATGAGAAGGGGATTACACAGTTAATACCTCATAAAAAATCTTTCTTAAATGTTTTATTTCTTTACAGATTACCATTTATAAGACTGTATCATAAATGAAGGACGTTGAGCTAAAGCCAGATACTTATATTGAGGAATTACCTTTTCATGTGGTCTCTGATATTGCTGCTGAGCTGAATAAAGATGACAGTTGGCTAAAAATAGCAGAAGTTCTTCAGAATGCTCTGAAAGAATTCATTTTCAGGTATGTATTTTAAAGCTTCAAGTTTTATATAGTACTGTTTTGAAGTTATAACTTGAGAGGAAATATGATATGCATTTTCAACCTAATCTAAAATCTACCAATCAGCGTACTGCCATATATATATTTGAAGAGAACACAGTTTAAAAAAAAATGTTAATATGGTAATAGTCTAGGAGAGCATAGACATTGCTGTCAAATTTTGATTCTCTGAAATTATGTTATATAGTAACACCTTTATGTAGAATGTAAATGTCTTTTGACTTTTCAGGGAAGAAGCAATATCAAATATGAGGAGGAGTGCATCTCCAGGTCAAGCATTACTAGACAAACTTAAATGTCATAACCTACAAGTACAACAACTGCAGAATCTGCTGAAACAGTGTCAACTTTTCAGCATTCTCAATAAAGTTGTAACCAATGGTATGTTGCTAAATTGTCTGTGAACACTCGCTATGATACTTTACTATACATCTGTTAGTACTTCTGGGATCAGTGCCTCTGAGACCTGATTTTGCCATTGTAGAGCAGTGTCAAAATTAGTAATTTATAATAATGTTTCATTAAAAAAGTGTATTCAGTATAAAGAATGTGTTATTGGTTTGGAATTATCTTCTTTGCATTTTTCGTTACTAATTGCTTTTTTATTTTGCTGACAGTTCCTGTAGAGATAAAATCTCCAGTAAGTGATGTTCCTGCCAGTGTGAAGCTTGGTGAGACAATTGATATTATTGTTGATGTTGATGGATCTCCATACCCAGAGTGCCAGTGGTACTTCATGGGAACACCCATGCCACAACACACATCAAGTGTTCTCACAATAAATAACTTCAGGTGAAACTCTTATTTTTATTTAAATATTGCTCTTGGGAGATTCTGAAGAGAAGTTGCAGAGATTGGTGGATGAATTTGGTAGGGTGTGCAAAAGAAGAAAATTAAAGGTGAATACAGGAAAGAGTAAGGTTATGAGGATAACAAAAAGATTAGGTGATGAAAGATTGAATATCAGATTGGAGGGAGAGAGTATGGAGGAAGTAAATGTATTCAGATATTTGGGAGTGGACGTGTCAGTGGATGGGTCTATGAAAGATGAGGTGAATCATAGAATTGATGAGGGGAAAGGAGTGAGTGGTGGGCACTTAGATCTGTGGAGTCAAAGAACTTTGTCCTTGAGGCAAAGAGGGGAATGTATGAGAGTATAGTTTTACAACCTCTTATATGGGTGTGAAGCATGAGTTGAATGAATGTTGGCAGTGAAGGAGAAGGCTGGAGAGCAAGTGGAGATGTCATGCCTGAGGGGCAATGTGTGGTGTGAATATATGCAGAGAAGTCGTAGTTTTTGGAAGTTAGGAAGGAGGTGCAGGATTACCAAAACTGTTGTCCATAGGGCTAGGAAAGGGTTTGTTGAGGTGGTTCGGACATGTAGAGAGAATGGAGCGAAACAGAAGACTTCAAGAGTGTTATCAGACTGTAGTGGTAAGGAAGGCGGGTAAAGGGTCGGCTAGGAAAGGTTGGAGAGAGGGGGTAAAAGGAGGGTTTTGTGTGCGAGGGCTTGGACTGTCCACAGGCTGCGTGAGCGTGTTTGATAGGAGTGAAAATGGAGACAAATGGTTTTTTAATACTTGAACGTGCTGTTTGGAGTGGGAGCAAAGTAACATTTATGAAGGGGATCATGAAACCGGCAGGCCGGCTGAGTCCTGGAGATGGGAATGTACAGGTCCTGCACTCTGAAGGAGGGTGTTAATCTGCGTTAAAAAACTTGTAGTGGCCAAAGCACCCCTTCTGGCAAGACTGTGATGGAGTGAATGATGGTGAACGTTTTTCTTGGGCCACCCTGCCCTGGGTGGGAATCGCCAGTGGTGATAATACATAATTACAAATGTATTATTTTTATAATATTATTTATATCTAATTTCTGCCTTCCTCCATAAGCCATGTGTGCCATAAAAGGCGACTAAAATGCTGGGAGCAAGGGGCTAGTAACCCCCTTCTCCTGTATAAATTACAGTACTAAATGTAAAATGAAGAAAGGCTTTAATTTCTTCTTTTTTTGTTTTGAACCTGCCTTGGTGGGAAACAGCTGATGTGTTAAAAAAAAATTCTATAAAGAATTTGAGAGTGATTGAAGATAAGGCCATTGGGATAAATAATTGCAGTCAAATCTGTTTATTTACATTGGATACATTCCCAACCATCAATAATAGTAAAAGTTACATAAAAGTGTTTTTCAACATCTGAAGCTGTTTTCAATTATTTTTTTAATGGAAAAATGTAGGTAAAATATTAATTTGCTACCTACAGTGAAGTAGTAAAAATGTTCTGAGGGTACTGGTGATGATGGGTGAAGATATTAGTAAAGAAAGTTAAAGAAAGACAATGAGGGAAGAATGCATTAAACCACTGCATGTGTCAGCTGCTAATGCTAGGAAATACTACTTTATCTATTCTCTATACTTATGAAAAATAATTGTAGAGGCAACCTAGAATGTGGTGATCATACAAAAATTGTTTTGTACATTGGCAGTGCCAAGAAACATGCTTATAAAAATTGAGGCTAGCAATCAATAAGGGGTGAAGGTAAGTTTTTGATTGCATTAGATTGTTGAATATTACTGTGAAGTTTCATAAATTCTGCATACTACAAAACTAGGCTAGTCATGGTCATGCAACCTGCTGACTCCCTTGTTCACTAAGCAGTATTTTTTCCTCTCCCATGTAAGCACAGTTTACCATTGTGTATCTTGTGGCCTAGAAAATTCAAGGGTGGTTGACCTGTCTTCATTTAGGACAGTAGAGTTCTGGAACCAGAACAGACATAAGAACATAAGAAAGAAGGAACACTGCAGTAGGCCTGTTGGCCCATACTAGGCAAGTCCTTCACAGTCCAACCCACTAACAGAATACTTGCCCCACCCATTTTCAGCACTACGCAAGCAATAAGCCTAATAGCATGTAAAGTACTTGGTTGTGAGTAAATGACACTTAGATGCAATGGAAACCTTTATCAGCAACATTGTTTTGCCCAATCATGTAGTTTAGGAAGTCACAAGAGACAACACAAGAAAGAAGAGTATACAAGTACAGACAAAGGAAGTTGGGGTGCAGGAGAGTATTCCTTGGTGCCTGAGTCATGCTGATTAATGAACGAGCACATGAGGCTGGCAGTGGAAAAGTTGAAGCATATATTAGCTGTGTTTGTCACCCAGTTACCATCTATAGCAACTTCAATCCAGTATTGTTTTAGCTTGTGTACATTGCAGTAAACAAGAGTGTGTGCATTATGCACAATGCCTTGTATATTACACCATATAAGTTTATAATACATGTTGGGAACTGAAGATAGTTTTGTTGATGTTTTTATCAAAAGCTTAATTAAATGTTAAATGCACTGATAAAATGCATCCCTCTTATAGTATCATGAATGTTAGGATGCTCCTGGCTTTTGTATCTGTGATAGGCGACCATAAAAATCACTTAAGATTTATCATATTCCTCAAATATATATTTTAGTAATTTAACAACAATAAATGAACAGAACTGCAAAAAAAGAGTAAAAGGTACTGTGGGTATGAAGAAGGAATTACAGATGATTATAGGGAAATAGACCATGAACTGAACCCTCTTCCCTGGAAAAAAGAATTCTTAACGAGACATAGTTGATGTATGTAAATGAGTGAATAAAAGAAATACTAATCCTACGGGTTTAGCACTCCCCTTGATTATAATAATAATAATAAGAAGAAATACTAATTAGTATTATATTTCTTCTCTTAACAGTATTGGAGATATGGGTGAATACTTTTGTCACATGAAGCAAAACCTCAAGGGAAAGGTGAAAGAGTACAGCTCACCCAGATTTATTTTAGATGTAGAAAGGCTACCACCAGAGATTGTAGTGGACCTCAGTGATTTGGAATTGTCAACAGGAGGGAGGTAGACATATTACATCCTACTTAAAAAAATATTTTTCCTTTAGCAATGTCCAGCGTGTATTTTCCATTGGTTGTTTTTAAGTACTGATTAACAGTTATTGGACATAGATCGTTAATTTCTTCCATTCCAAAAGTAAAAATTCTGTTTAAGTTTTTTTAATGTATTGGTCGTCTTCCACTAAGGAAGGGTGACCGAAAAAAAGAAGAAATAATTTTTTTAATGTATTGGTCATCTTCCACTAAGGTAGGGTGACCGAAAAAAAGTAGAAACACTTTCACTGTCATTCATTCATTCATTCATTCATGTATGTATGTATGTGTGTGGTATGAGTATTTTTAACTATTTCATATACAGTAGTTTTGTGGACTATTTTCTTCAGCTTGTCTTAACCTTTGAAGCAGTTGGGTACCCTGAGCCAAAAGACTACATATGGTTTAAGAATGATGAATTCTTTGCAAAAACTTCTGAGCCAACACTCAAAGTAAGTGAGTTATTATAGTGTTGCTCTCTTATTACCGTTAGTATGTAAAATGTTGTCTTTACTTTAAGCTGGATGGCTTTAGAATCTACTGAGAAATTAAGAAGTTATTAGAATTCTAAATACAGTATATTTAGGTACTGCTCATATCTAACCTGTATATACTGAGGACATAACAAACAGATAAGGTAACTAGGAGATAGTAACCATATTGATAAAGAAAATAACACTGTAGGAGGAATTAAAATGCAGTATCATACCTTATTAGATTACATTTTGTAACACAGATTGTCTTTTTGTAAGGTGACTTTTTTTTAGATGTTCTTTTTGTTAGGCATTTGCTCATTTTGTAAGACATTTTCTCTTTCTGTAAGACAACTGCTTTCTTGTGCAAGACAGGTGCTCTTTTTGTAAGAAGACTACTTTCTCTGTAAGGCAACTGCCCTTTTGCAAGACAATTGTGCTTTTTGTAGAGCCAGTCTTTTCATAATATAATTACAGAAGGTGATTGTCTTGTCAGTGTCATTTCTCTGCAGTAGTGGTCATCAAACCTCATTTAAGCTTCTGACTGTTCTCCATTGCTGTCTGTTGTCAGAAACAGTATTCTGATGTCTGCATAATAGCATGGCCTATTCCTCTCATGAAGGACCCCTATACTACTGCAAGTTCTGACAGCCAGTGCGACAACCCAACTCCTTTTGATTGATTGTCCCATTCAAGAGAGTTGACAAAATTTATTTTCAACCTTCCCTTCACACTTTTGACATGCTTGCTTTTCTGTTCTCCTTTTGTGGACTCACTAAGCTTTATTATTTTAACTGAAGCTGATGTAGTACATTGATACTGGCTCTTTCCTGTTGTCTTTGGGCTCGCCCTCATCACATCTACCTCTTTCTCTCTGCTGTCATTCTCATGCTTACTGTGTAGTTCTGTATAACCCATGTGGGTTTAGCATTCTCCATGAATATAAATATTTTAATTTGTCAGTTAGGGCAAGCCATATCAGGTCACCAGTATTGCTAAAAGTACTGTTCTCTATTGTACTGTAGTTTCTAAATACATATAGTTAACCCTCTATATAAAAACTTTGGAAATAAGGAAAAAAAATTCCACTGGATCAGTCAATTTAGATAAAATGGACAGTCTGTTACAAAATTGTCCATTATTGCAATAATCACACACAGCCCAAACAGTCCTTCTCTTATCGTCTGCCAGAACTGCCATTATCTGCCGCTCATTTCAACCCCATCCCCATCCCAGTTAGTCCGTTATATGGAGGGTTTACTGTAGCAGTGTATGTTTCCCTATACATTATAGAATTATGTTTAATTAATGATATATATGTTCAGTATGAAGAAAGTATGCCACCATAATGTAAGTATATCCATTATTAAGTTAACATCTCTGAAGCAAATTTACCACAATGTACTGTTCTATAAATCCTTTTTCAGCATGTTCCATACCAAAAGGTTTATGATAATGGCTTGGGTGAGTATATTCTTCCTATTAGCTTAGTGAGCATTTGAAAATTACATAAACTCAGTCTTTGCCAAATACCTTAACCCTTAGCCATCCAATTACTTGTCTTTTACATTATTTCTCAACAAGCTTTGCCTCTCATTCCTGAGGGCTTTCTTGTGAATATAATTATAATACTGTTTTGGATATACTCTTGAGTATGAGTAGTAATATCCTCTTCCTTATTTCAAACAGATACAAGAAGTAGACACTTTGGTGTCTGGTTTGTATTACTGTAATGTTCGTAATAATGAAGGAAACTGTACAACAAGACCAGCCACAGTGAAAGTAAGTTAGTATTATATGTTCCTATTAGAGGATGCTGTATGATTGTGCACTACCTCATTTATTTTTTCCTTAGGATGAAACATAAGATACATTTGCAACACATAGGTAACTTTATTTAAAGATGTTTTGCCAATTAGTGGCTGTTTCAATACAATAGAGATGATATACAAAGACTAGAAGATAAGGTAAACAATCTCTCAGCCTTGCAAAACTATATACAGAAGACATCAGCCTAAAAGTTGGTGTTCAGTATGTTTGTCTAGGCTGAAGGACTGATTGTCTTCTACTGTCTTCATATATCATACTCTGTATTGTATTGAAAAAAACACTGATTGGCAATTTTTTATTTTTTTCAACAAGTCGGCCATCTCCCAACGAAGCAGGGTGACCCTAAAAGAAAGAAAAAATCCCCCCAAAAAATACTTTCACCATTATTCAACACTTTCACCTCACTCATACATAATCACTGTCTTTGCAGAGGTGCTCAGATATGACAGTTTAGAAGTCCCTCCAAACTGTCAATATCCCAAACCCCTCCTTTAAAGTGCAGGCATTGTACTTCCCATTTCCAGGACTCAAGTCCGGCTAACCATTTTACCTAAATCCCTTCACTAAATATTACCCTGCTCAAACTCCAACAGCTCGTCAGGTCCTAAAATCCATTCATCTCCACTCAATCCTATCTAACAGGCTCACACACACTTGCTGGAAGTCCAGGCCCCTTGCCCACAAAACCTCCTTTACCCCCTCCCTCCAACCTTTTCGAGCATGACCCCGATCCCTCTTTTCTTTCCCTACAGATTATACGCTCGCCAAGTCATTCTAGTTTACTTTGATCCATCTCTCTTAAATGACCAAACCACCTCAACACCCAAAAATGTCTTGCAATAAAGATACCCAGTTATTGGATGCGTCTTGTTTCCTCATCTTGTCAGTATTATATACAATTATAGTAATGACAGAAACATCTTTTGGAAGTGAAGGGGTGGGGTCCAATGAAACCAGTCGCATTATTCCGCTTTTTGGCCCTAGTGAAACATAACTATTCCTGGTCCCCCTACTTGTATTATGAGCTTTTTGTGTCTTTAGCTCATTAGAATTACGACATAGTTTGAAGGTTAACTGTGATACTGGAATGAAGCAAAATGGGTTGGTGGAAGAGTTTAGGAAGGTGTGTAAAATGAACATTAAAACTGAAGCATGTTGATGAGAATAAAGAAAAATATTTAGCTATGAAAAATAAGATATTTGAAGGGAGAGAGTGTATGGAGGAATTGAATAGTTCTCAGTGTTTGGGAAAGGATTTACCAGCAGATGACTGTTTAAGATGAGGTGAATGCTAGAGGAAGGAAAGAAAGATTGGAGTGTTGAAGATCCCATGAAAACACAATTTTATTGATGGATGCAGTAAGTGAATGTATCAGAATATTGTAAAGTGGTGCCACTGCTTTTGTGTGTTTAACGCATTTAGGAAGCTAGAGGCAGTAGATATCATATTTGATATCAGTGTGTTGAGTGAATATTATGCAGTATATACAGAGAATAAGAAATGAAGAAATTAGAAGATGGTGTGCTGATTTGCAAGGCATGATCTGTAAACTAGGTTGGCTAACTAAATATAATTAAATGGTTAGAAGTATATCAAATTATATTTATAATAATGAAATAAATGTTTTAAGTCTTGTTTCAACAGGTTGTTCCACCTATTCTTACTCCAGGAGCTGCAGTAGTCAATGAAGAATCCCAGAAGAAACCATCTTTCTGCCTTCATAATAATGAAGATTTTGCTTGTAAGCTTTATTCTTTACATAAAGTAAATGTGATCTACTAAATAATTGATAAGTAATTTAGAATGGGTGATTCTCTACTTTATATATGGTATATACAGTATTTATATAAATATATGTAATCCAGGTCCCCACCTCTTTTCCAGTATGTGTTCATATTGCTGTATAAATGATGAATTAAAATGTATTTAATGAAAGTTGACTCGGTTACTGTACTTTTCATAAATTTACAGTTTCTGCATCAGAAGATAAACACAGGCTTAATTTGCTCAGCATCATCACAGAGGACGCATTAATGAGAGAAGACCGGAAACCATTGCAGATGAGGTCCAAGGCTTCATTACCCGCAGGCACATTTATATTCGATTCAGAGCTTCAAATGAGAGACACACACGAGGACATACTCAGTGGTATAACCTAATATTCGTTCTTTTAATGCTGCTTTTCATACCACACATGACTTATGTTTAGGACATCACTGAAAGGGCTGCAGTAGGCTGCTGGAAGTTATGGACAAGCAATAATGGATAAGTGACTAGTTTATCTCCAACAAATGCAAGCTATTGAGATTATGAAAGCGAGTAGAGGTCACTGAGGTAACACTGTACCTGCTCATTGGAGACAGAGCAGAGGCGTCGTAAGGGGGGGCAGGGGGGCTGCCCCGGGTGACACCATTTAGGGGGTGACACCATAGAGCCTCTAAAGAAGGTGACACTAATGCCCAAAACAGTGCTGCACCAACATAAGAGAAGAATACTTTGTTTCTATATAGCCTATTATATATTAACAAAGTACAAATATGCCTATATAGGGAAAATCATTGATTTTGATGATGTGATAGATGATTTTGCATAATTGAAGGCAAGAAAGTGTAAGATCAAATTCACTGAGATGTTACCTGTACTTAAGGTCAAATTGGAACTAGTGTTTCTCTGATATTGCAATGTTTTTCTTTATTTTTCAAGTTTTTTTTTTTATTTTATTTTTTTTCATTGTTAACGATGAATAAATGTAGGATCTGTTTGCACCTGTACACAAGTGGTATTGAGTTGTTTTCCTCAATATTACTACCATTATTTATTTTATCATTATTAAAGTCGAGAAGTATTCTTCTGTTCGGTTTATGGCCCTTAAACGTTCTCATTGCTAAACATTAGTCATTGGTCATGCAGTAGTGACATAACTGGAGTTTACTTCCCCCATCCCCCCGCCCTTAAATTTCATGGGGGTGACACCAAAGATGCCGCCCCGGGTGACACCAACTCTAGCGACGCCTCTGAGACAGAGGCTCCTATAAACAGGATAATATTATTGGGTTATTCAGCATGAGGAAATATTATAGCTTTCTAGACCCTTAACACAGAATCACTGAGGAGGCAATACAGTGTATTGTTTGTATGGATGGCATGGTTCAGTGTGCCTTTGTCTTTTGAAGTGTGATGTCAGTGCACTTCTGGAAAAACAGCTAGAGAATAGTGAAAAATGAATGTTTCTTTCTTTGAGTTACCCTGCCTTGGCAGGAAATGGCCAGTGTAGTAAAAAAAAAAATTTTTTGCATATTCTGCATACAATTAATACAGTAATTATTGCCTCTGGTAGATCATTGATACAAGCTAAGGATATGATGGGCCAGGCCGGTACTAATTCTTAAGAAAAATTAGCTCGTAATGTAGGGCATCGACAAGGAAACTTACCTCGTATCATTCTTCATCTGTATTTCCTTTCTAGTTATGAAGAATTATTTGAATTTTTTTTTAATATATATACAGCCATTTGATGTCTACTGCATATGTACCTTGTGTAATTGTCATATGTAATTAATATAATTACCGATAAATTTTTTCCTACTTTGTTTGTGTAGTCACGCAACAAGTGGCGTTATTGGTTGGCAAATTCAGCCTACAAGCATGAGGCAAAGAATTTGTACACACCACCAAGGACATAAAAATTTGGCAAGAGAGCTGGTAAAAATTGCGAACTCTTCGTTTAATCTGTAACACAAACTGAAAAGGACAGAATTTTTATAAATGGCATTCGTCTTTTTTTCAAAATTTCGTTCAGAAGGAGATGTATGGTAAGATTTGAGCTAAATACAGAGTGTATATTGTTAGGGAGTATTAATGAAAAGATGATGTTTGTAGTGATGTTTTGCCTTATGTAGAGCTTTATGACGCAATTGACTTGATAAAGCTCTGCATATAGCAAAATATTACCACATTGAAGAATAAAAAGGCACAGTACCATGATGGGAACAATACACAAATAACCCACATATAGGAGACTGAAATTTATGATAAGATATTTTGGTTCAAAATTGGATTGAAACATCATAAGTTTGTCTCCTATGCACGGGTTATATGTATGTGTATTGTCAGAGTGCAGCTTACTCTTCACCTCTGTCATTTCTTTAATCTATGAAGTTTAAAGAAATATAATGTGTGCATATTATGACCATCACTGGTACCAATACTGAGGCATTAATTTTAAGATAATTTTCATAAATTTTTGAGAATTGTAGAGATGGAAAGTACAGAGCTCTACTTCTGAATGATTAAGTGGACTATATTAGCAATTAAGAGGTAAGAGAACAGTGCCCAAATTGAAGGGATGAGTGGAGGAGTTGCAGTTATAAGACTGTGTCTAGGAAGTACTGTGCCCTCACTAAAGGATGGGGAGGGCTCCCGTAGATATTAACATTAAAGATTGACTCAAGTGAAAGACGACTATAGTGTTAGCAGTCACATGACTTGACCAGCTGACTGGCTCCGTTGATCGTTCAACAGCTTTTTTTCAATATTTACTTGATTACTTTTCCATTGAGGGGGCACTAAACCTGTTGGTGTTATACAGAGTTTCAAGGAATGTGAAGCAATTGGAGTCGAAAGGATGGGCAGCCTGAAATGTACAGTATTATTCCTCAAATATACAGTGGACCCCCGCATAACGATTACCTCCGAATGTGACCAATTATGTAAGTGTATTTATGTAAGTGCGTTTGAACGTGTATGTTTGGGGGTCTGAAATGGACTAATCTACTTCACAATATTTCTTATGGGAACAAATTCGGTCAGTACTGGCACCTGAACATACTTCTGGAGTGAAAAAATATCGTTAACTGGGGGTCCACTGTACAGTGTTGTTGGAAATCATAAGAGGTAACCTCACTGACTCATGGGTGACTGGGTTACTAGCAGCATGCTGGATGCTTGTCCTGGGATGTCATGGGCAAACACTATACAGTACTTTATGGATACTAGATCTAGTTCTGTATTTATCAGTTAGTAGTTTAGAGAAAGGGAAGATTATGTATAATATGTTGCAAGCTCCTAGGTAGTAGGGTGGTAGACAGCAACTGCTCAGGAAGGTACTACCATCCTGCTAAGTGAGTGTAAAACGGAAGCCTGTAATTATTTTACGTGTAAGGTTTCAGGTATGCCTTGCTACTTTTGCTGACACTTGGGTCACACTACACGTGCATGTACAAGCATATACAGTGGCACCTCAGGTTACGAACTTAATTCCTTCCAGAAGGCTGTTTGAGTGCCGATACCGAATGAATTTGTTCCCACATGGAATAATTAAATTAGATTAATCCGTTTCAGACCCCCAAAAATACACTTACTGAAGCACTTAAAAAATACACTTGCATAATTGTTAGAGTTGGGAGCTGTTCGTAACCCGAGGCACCACTGTATACACACACACCCCTCTGGGTTTTCTTCTATTTTCTTACTAGTTCTTGTTCTTGTTCATTTCGTCTTATCTCCATGGGAAAGTGGAACAGAATTCTTCCTCCATAAGCCATGCGTGTCGTAAGAGGGGACTAAAATGCCAGGAGCAAGCGGCTAGTAACTCCCTTTTCCAGTATATATTACTAAATTTAAGAGGAGAAACTTGTTTTTTCTTTTGGGCCACCCTGCCTCAGCGGGATATGGCTGATGCGTTGAAAGAAAGAAAGAAGAAATGTTGCAGACTGTCTTCAAGGATGGAGAAGGGTAGAAATAGTATGCCTTCCATAAGGAGTAATTAACCCTTAAACTGTCCAAACAAATTTATGTTCACATGCGTAGTGCTCCGAAAGTAGATCTACGTTTTTCTACATAATTTCAAATATAAGAAAAAAAAAGTAGATCAAAGGTTTTTTTTTACACATTTTCAAATGTAAAAAAAAGAAAAGATCTACTTTTTTACATACTTTCAAATGTTGAAAAAACGTAGATCTACGTTTGGACAGTTTAAGGGTTAAATGTTTACATTCATATACGTAATTTTATGACAGTAATCTTGTTTTTTATTATCACTTGTAATTGCATGCATTTAAGTTTTTATGACATCCTTATTTCAGAATAAAGTGTCCGCCAACAATAGAAACACACAATTGTGCCCTGGCAAACTCTTACACCCTTTATGCTACATCAGAAAATTATTCCTCTTATGAAATGGAGTCATCTCAGCTGGAGTCTTCTCTGTTGATGAAACATTTAAAAGATGTGGTGGGAAAACCCATACCCGTAGAAATGCTGGGACAGAAGGTTAAGGAATGTATGTTCAGACAACAGATGTTTTACTTTTACTTTAATTAATATTGATACTGTATATATGAGGATATATATCTTCATTTCATAAAACACCTAAGAAATACAAGCCAAATTGTTCGTACTTCAGTTAAGCTGTCACGAGCCATAGTGATGACATCAACATCTGTACTTATGAAAAAATGGTCATTTGTTGGAGAAATAATGTTCAGATGCTGACATGATCACCGTGGCTCACAACACCTATTATAAAGCCCAGCCAGTCATCAGAAGCAAATTTAATAGTTGACTGGAAACTAATCCTTTAAGTGGGCATAGAGGACAGATTTTTGTTCTTGCAAGCGTGCATGAGCGTGTTAGATAGGAGTGAATGGAGACGAATGATACTTGGGACCTGACGATCTGTTGGAGTGTGAGCAGGGTAATATTTAGTGAAGGGATTCAGGGAAACCGGTTATTTTCATATAGTCGGACTTGCGTCCTGGAAATGGGAAGTACAATGCCTGCACTTTAAAGGAGGGGTTTGGGATATTGGCAGTTTGGAGGGATATGTTGTGTATCTTTATACGTATATGCTTCTAAGCTGTTGTATTCTGAGCACCTCTGCAAAAACAGTGATAATGTGTGAGTGTGGTGAAAGTGTTGAATGATGATGAAAGTATTTTCTTTTTGGGGATTTTCTTTCTTTTTTTTGGGTCACCCTGCCTCGGTGGGAGACGACCGACTTGTTGAAAAAAAAAAAAAAATGTATAATAATATAAAACCTGAAACCTAATGTTGCAATTTGAAATAAAACAACTTTAAAAAAAAGTACCTCTGCAGTCAGATTTGACAAATGAGGTGTTGCCTGTGGGAAATCATGGTGTAAGTTAATCTAATATTAGCACAGGGTGTAACATTAATTTACAAAAATAAAGTAAATCCATCTGTAGGCTGGTACATAACACTTCATGTCACCAGATCAGCTGACAAGTCAATTTAAAGATAGGCTCATGCACTATACAAATTTTTTGCACAGTTAGCCTCTTGCTTGTGATCAGTGGCAGACTTCCAACATTTTCCATACATGACCCCTAGAGCACTCGGTTTAGTTCTTGTACCTGACCTACAAGTGATGCAGTCTGCCAGCATGTGGTCACTAGTACAACTAAATAAATAGAGCTTCATGCTATATTAACAAAAATCCTCAAACCACTGACTTGTGCTGGTTGATTATAGCCTAATAAAATAACACCCAAATATAAGAGAATATGAAATAAATGCTTGAAGAACCTTGGGGAATATACTATGTGTAGTATTCCTACTAAGACATCAGTGCTTATGATGTCTTAGCAGGAATTGCTGTGCCCTTACATGTATGATTTTTAAATTAGACATGCCCCAAATGGCTTTTAATAATTATGTGAGGAGTTGGTTAAAAGAGTGACCATATATAAATACACTGTAGGTTATATTTTGTGCATTAAGTATTGTGCTGTATGCTTTGCACATTAAAGCAGAGATGGGGTTCCTTTTGAAATATCACATCTTTATTGTCATCTAGTCTTGAATGTTTTCAGCTTTCTACCGTCATTGTAACGAGGCTCCTGATCAAATACCCAAGAGTGTTTGTGACTTGGCTCTTCTGCGTTCTCTTGCTGATCCTTCTCTTCCCTTGGAAAGTGACATTGAAGGTAAATTCTGTACCAAGATAAAATTAACAGTAGACCTGAGTCTAGTTATACCAAACACTGGTAAAGCGTTGATTATATTTTTATTAAAATCAAAATCACAAGTTCTGTATAGCATAGAATGCTGATTAACCTTTTAGTCTTAATACTGCTAATTTTAAAACTGTTTTCCTTTTCATAACATGGTATTTCTCTATATTAAATTGCATAATCTGTTTATCATTTCATTTGCTTAATGCATATTCAGTATACCTACATACATTTGTAAGTGAGTCTTTGTTTCCCTTCAAGAATGGGAGTGCCTTGATGCTAATGAAGGGCTCTTGATCCAAGGAATTTCATCTCATCATCCTCAGATCAAACCTAATTATTACCCCCCACCCCTCTTATTCCTTTGTCACCATATGATCATCTTATGGGTTTAGCACTTCTCTGTGAATATAATTAAGGCATTGTTTTCCCTCTTATTGTTTGAGATTGTGTTTTGCAGATGGTGGGGTGCTTCATACCTGGGAAATGTTAGGAAGTGTTGGAGGTAAAATTCAAGCCCATGTAAGTTTTTGAAGACATGATCATCTCCCGCTGAAATAGTGACCCATAAAACTGTTGTATCTGGGCGCCTCTGCGAAGACAGTGATTATGTATGAATGAGGTGAAAGTGTTGGATGATGATGAAAGTATTTTCTTTTTGGGGATTTTCTTTTTGGGTCACCCTGCCTTGGTGGGAGATGGCCGACTTGTTGGGAAAAAAAAGGGGGGGAGGCACATTCACCATCCTTCATTCAGTGACTGTCTTAACAGAAGCTTGTTGACATCACAGCTCATATGGCCCTCTAAAATGTAACATCCTCATCCCTCCTTGTTGCATTTTGGAGATCCATGACTGGCAAGACACTGAATAGGTAATGGTGAATGTGTTTTCTCTTTTTATGGAGGTGTTCTACCTTGGTGGGGGATGACTAGCATAAGTATTGTTTACAAAAGGTACCATTGTACACCAGTTGTGTATGTAATGTTAGCATGGTCTCAGTGGTCTTAGACATTTCCCATCAAGGTAGGTTTGGCCCTAAAAAAGAAAAACATATTCACCATAATTCAGTCCCCAGCTGTCTCTCCTGAAGAGTGTAGAGAAAGAACTTTTTTCTTTATTCTAGGTTAGTTTAGGGTAGGTTGCATAGATGTGAAAAAGTATTCCTAACCTCAGTGAAGTAAATAAAAATAAATGACACTGATACATCTGGCAGCATTGTGCCTGGGTAGGCCCAGATAATATTCATATTACACACACATCATTCTTGGTGTGATGATGAGTTGCTATCTTTGTGGAAAATGGCAGATGTATTGAAAAAATCTTTCTTTAATCAGTTTGTGCAGGTTAACTCTGACAAACCCACTATATTTATTGAATTTCTTTTTTTATACATGAATAGTAATTGTAATAAATGTGTGTATTAATCATTACTGCAATGCTTGAGATGAGCTATGCTCTGCAGTATTATTGGAGCAACTCCTATTAGCTAAAAATTTGTATTAAACAGATGTCCATGGTCCTCACCATTTCGAATAAAATAGTTTATTTTTAACACACCGCCCTCTCATTTACTACCATAAGTTATGAAAAAAAATTAATATTAATTTGTGTAAATTAACACACTCGCATCAGATTCATCATTCAATTTCAGGTGCGAGTACGCAACTGCGACATAAGAGTGAATGTTCAGTGCACTCAGGAAGAGTTAGCAAATAGTCAGCCATTCCAGAAAGGTGGGCCAACTTGGGTTATTAGTAATTGTATTTATGTTTGGATTACACTAACACACAACAATGAACCATTTGATACTAGAACAATAGATGAAGAAGGCCTGGATCTCATCATCAAATTTAGTACAGAGCAAGAGGTAAGCATATGGATATCTTCAGTAATGTTGAAAAGTATAGTTGATTATAATAGGTATTCATAATAAGGGAATTCCTCATGGCATTACCCTTCCTGTTTGTTTTCTCACCACTTCCTTTCCAGTTTTTTGTATATCTAAATTTCTTATTTTATATTTATATTTTTTATGAATTTAACTTTTATTTAAATATTTACAAAATATTAAAGAAACAAATTACAGTATTTTTAATTTTAATTTTTTCCATTGCTTTTTAGCTTCATAAGGAACTGAAAGGAAAAACATCACCAGTGGTCTGTTCTGTTGATGGAATTCAATCTCTCAAGGTAGGATTATATGTTACAAATCACATTGTTTAAGTTTAGAAAAAGCTCTTTAACCAAAGGTATAGTTCAGAGGGCTGAGGGGTTGTAGAGGTGATTTTGGGGATTTGAGTGGATGGAGCTGCACAAGATGACCAAGAGGGGTGTATAAATTTGGGATAGAGCGAAGGAGAGGTGGGGATTATCCCAGGAAGAATTGGAGGGGGACAAAATATGTAGTGGCTTGAGCATCCAACAGACTTGTGCGAGTTTGTTGTATCAGAGTTAGTAGAGACAAGCGAGTTTTGTGGCTCGATGGGGTGTTAAAGTGTAGGGATTCATGGAAAACCAGGTAGCCAGACTTTAATTCCTGGAGATGAAAGTACAGTCCATGAATTCTGAAGGAGGGGTGGATATACTGCAGTTCAGAGGGTCTTTCGAATTTTGATGTTTCTGTACTATTAGCAAGACAGCTATTGAATGAATAATATCTTTTTTTTTGTAGGAAAGAACAGATATCCTGAAAAAAATTATAATTCAGTATTATCTTACTTTATCAACATTGTCAGTATTTACTTAGCACACAAGTTTAAATTCATATTAGTGGATGTTTTCATAAAATTATAATATAATACTTAAGCATTTTGCATCAAAACTAATTCTTTTTTTTTTTTTTTTTTTTTTTTTTTTTTTTTTTTTTTTATAGGAATATTTGTCTCTGGATTTACGGTTTGTGTGTAAAGGAGATCTTCTGTGCCAAAAGTTGCTCAATCTACAGAAGCCATCAATCTCCAAGAAATTTTCATCAAACAATGACCTGAGTTAACATCATTCTTGTGTTGTATATAAAAAAAATCCAAATTAAACTTAACTATGTGCAATATATTGTAAAAGCTCAAATGAGGGAAGATGTCTGTTTTAGATTACCTATTTATATTTGTGTGTGTTAGCATCTACTGACTATAATATCAGTGGCAGTACTAGATGTAAAAGTTGTATTGTACCTCTGATAATTTCTGATATATACAATATTTAGATACAGTATTCCATATGGTTTTGCCATTAAAATAGATTGTTGCTTTTTTGCTGAACTATATTTTAAGAATAGGCATTTGCAGTGGTGTGCAGGGAGGAGGTTATGAGTAGCATTCTGGCAGGAAGGGAGGCTATGGGACTTAACTTGAAGCTACATTTTTATTATTTTTATTATTACACACAAAATGCATATGTGGTTCACTAACACACAAGCACATCACACACTTAAAACAAGCCCATCTCCTATATAAGAAGAGCAACAGAAAAATAGAATTATGTTTTTAATAAGCTGTTATACTTGTCTTTAACACCATCACACAGAATAGAGGCAAGTATATTTTAGCAAAGCCCACTGCTAAAGTGATACTGAAACATGAAAAATACAAATTACCAGGTCCTGGCCTTGTGATTCAGGCCACATCCAACAGCTCAACATTGCCAGACAGGTCACCTCGACTACATCAAATGAAACCTCTTCACTTCAGCCTCGCTTGTCACCTGACTCCATCACTTTTCAGCACTATATATACATGTGTATGTTAATAGTTATGATATTTTTTGTACAGTACTTCATGTAGGTGAAATGTCTTACTAATAAAGATCTTCTTTTGCTGAATATCTTTTTCCCACTTGCCTGATTGTGACTTCTTAAAGGTCACTGTGTGGGCATAATGTCATCAATAAACATTCCATGTAACTGCATTTGTGTGTCTTTTCATGGTGTGGGTACCTCACACCATTACCTGCCCACCCTTCAAAGAGGGTGCCTTGATACTGGTGAAGTGCTCTTAATCCAAGCAATTGGAGTTATTTCTTTCCTTGGTTTAAAACTGATTACCCTTCAAGAGGGATTTCTTGATACAAAGAATTGGACTTTAAATTCCCTTTCCAGTGAACTGGGCTTGATTTCTATTTCCCAGGTCCTGCATGACCCTTATAGATTTCACACTTTTCTCTCGAGGGTGGCGATATTATCATTAGTAACTGGTGGTGGTAGTTGAAGGATGCCAGAAATGGAGTTTATCTTCAGGTTGTCATGTGGAAGTATGTAACAATAGTTCTGGCAATGATTACACTTAGTTGTCTACATCAGCTGGTGGTGCACACACTCAGAGGGACTTGTAGCTCAGATGAAGCCAGGCACTAGTGACATCCAGGAGTTTTAAGATTTTATTGCCAGGTGTCACGGCCAAGTCCATACACTCGTATTTCACTTGTCTGTACACATAGGCTCAAACCTAAAGATTTTTTTTTTCCTTTTTATTAGATGTGCCATAGACATGTGGCTTCTCTTGCATGATAGAATGATGATAAATCGACTGATGACTGTCATGCTCCCTCTGTCTCTAGTTCATGAAGCTCATTAAATAAATGGTTTAGAAAACTTGACAAGTTGGTATAAAGTTCTTTTCCTCTTATTATCTTCAAACTACTAGTTGATAGCCCAAAGTTGTAATCTCTTTCCTCAGGGCATTTCCCCTTTGCCAAGCTGCATGACCCCTGTTGGTTTAGCACTGTTTGATTATAATAATCCCCTTTGCCAATTTATGATATATTTAGATGGAAGTGCTACACCTGTAGGGGTCATAAAGAGCCTGGAAATAAGAGGTAATCAGGTTTGATCCAAGAAAGTGGAGGGCAATTCCAACACCTTGAGTTAAGAACTCCCTCACCAGTATCAAGGAATCTTGAAGGGTGCTAATTCATAACTACTCAACTTACAGTTTGCCACTTAAACAGTAATGGACAATGCTCTGTATTCCCACTAATTTTTCAAGATTAGTTTGACCCTTGGAGTGTGCACCATGGCTATATGTCTTGAGAAAATTCATCAATATTGTTGATATTGTGAAGTGCTAAACACATATGGGTCATACAGCCCCTGGGCGTATTCACAAATGGATAATTCATTGATATTGTTATAATCCTAATTAAGTGCTAAATCCACAAGGGTCATCCAGCTAATGCATAGATAAGCCATGCAAGTCTCATTCAAATCTACCCCTTCTCTCATATTGTATGACCCCCACCTCTTCAAGGGGGGCTCCTTGGCGTGGTGAAGAGGCTCTTGGTCTGAGGAATTAGACCTGTCGGTCTCCTTCCTCAGACCGAACCTAATTACCCCCCAATCCCCCGTTCCCTATCCCATCCTCCCCTTTTTCCTTTCCTCCTCTTTTTCCTTTCCTCCTCTTTTTCCTTTCCTCCTCCTCCTCCCCACCCCTCCCTTTTGCCCTTCCTTTTTGGCCTTTGGGTTTTTTTTTTTTTTTCCACAGGCACGCTGGTTCCTAGGTAGGGGAAAGGGTACCAGGGTCCATCCCATTCCGTTGAGGTTCTTGGCGGTGGCATAGTTTGCCGTGGAATCTGGATTGCCTGGGGATGTCCCGATCCCTCTCCGGTATCCCGGAGGGTGGTCTTGGGTGTCTCTCGGGCGACGGGTGTATCTCTGGAAGCCACCTTTTGGATTCCGGGGGTGGTGGCCAAAGGAGGTATGCTTTGTGGCGGATATCCGGCCGCCCTCTCTTTTGTCCACCGAGGTAGCTCGGCAGATGTGAGGTTGCTATCCCGGATTGCCGGTTTACTGGCATGATGGGTAGGGTATGGCACGGGTTCCATGCTGCATCTGCGCTACTTGCGGTGCTGAGATCCTCTTGGGTGCGGAGGGAGATTTCTGGCCCTTTCATTCCTCCTGGGAACTATCCCTCCCCGGTCCCCCTTTTTTTTATTCTTTTTTTTTTATTTTTATTTTCTTTTCTTTCTTTTTTTCTTAAAAACAAAAAGAAAGAAGTAACCTAACCATGGCAGCCCTAGTCCATGAACCTGCTACCCCCGGGCCCCTTATTGATACCGCACCCCGTTCTGACCCCGCCTCGTCTTTGGACCACTCTTCGGACACTCCTCATGCCTCTGTACCTCTTGCCGGTGCTGTTTCCTCACCTGCTTCAGGTACTGAGGCCTCGACTGACTCCTTCGATTTATCTGACCTTCGCTCTCCTCTAACTATGCTTCCGGCCTCTCCCTCTACGGTGCGGCAATTTTCGAATCGCCGACCCATTCCACGTCGGACCAACTCTGGTCCCACGCCTAAACGCCAATGACAATTACCTGCTGATGATACTTCTCCACCTTCTCGTTCTTCTCAGAAAAGATCGACACGTCCTTCACTACCTTTCCATGCTCAGTTTCAGACTGCACAATGGACTAAATTCTTCACTTTACGACCGACTTCCTCTACTGCCTATCTTTCTGACCACAGTATTGGCAAGGCACTCCTACGCCATGTTGGTAAAGATATTTCTTTTCATGCTCTTAAGAGCGGTACGCGCATCATCACCGTACAGAATGCTACCCAGGCTCATGAGCTTTCTCGTCTTTCCCATATCGATACTGTTCCTGTCACTATTGAAAAACATCATTCCTTCAATTCTTGTAGTGGTACCGTCATTCTGCCCCATACCATAGTTCAACAAAATTTCCAGACATGTGGCACTGACATTCTTGAACAGCTGGAACTCCAAGATCTCCCAATCCTCATGGTAGACACTTACATTCTTCCTGCCCGCGGGCGGAGACGATACCAAGCAATGTGGCTCGTTTAACTTTTGACAGCCGTGAACTCCCATCCTCAGTTTATGTAGCAGGACATCGGTTACAAGTTCGAAAGGTGATCCCTACACTGCAACAGTGTAGAAATTGCTGGCAATTTGGCCATCCAGCAAAATATTGCAGATCTCTCGCCGAATGCCCAGTCTGTGGTGCCGATGACCATTCTAATACGTCTTGCAATCGACCTCCCTCTTGCCTTAATTGTCATGAGGCTCACCCTTCGTACTCTCGCCATTGTCAAGTCTACTTAAATGAGCGGGAAATCCGTTACCTCAAAGAGGCAGAAGGTCTCCCTTATGCCATGGCAGTTTCTCATCTCCGCCTCCAAGGGAGACTACCACGTGTTTCTTATTCCCATGTTTCAAAACGTCCCCCCATTTCTGGTATCCCATCTTCTGCACCCACCTCTGTGGTTACCTCTCCCATAGTCACTCCTGTATCTAATTCTTTTGCTGTCCTCGGCTCAGACGTCCCTACTTCAACGCCTCAGTCTGATCTCGCTTCTTCGTGTTCTCTCTCACAAGCCTCAGTAGCGACGAGATCTCGTATGACACCTCCTCCCAATCATCCCTCTACTTCTCAAAAGTCAAAAAAAGGTCCGTTAACACCTCCTACCCATCTTCTACCTCCTCATTTTACCTTCCCTGTCTCTGTACCTGGTTCTCCCCCTCTCACTGGCTCTGTTACAAGTGTAGAGGTTCACCCTCCTCCTCGTTCTGTACCTTCCTCCCCTGTTCCCTCCCAAGTTTCTTCCTCTTCTGCCACCTCCCAGGTTTCTGCCTCTTCTGTCCCCTTCCACGCTTCTCCAGTTCCCTCCACCCTTTCGCCTCCCCTACCTTCGTAGAGTCCAATACAGTTCCAATCTTTACTCATCCTCCCCCTACCATTTCCAATATTGTCTCCCATATGACGTCTCTGAATTTCGAAACACTTGAAGCAATCTCTGAATATATTGCAGAGACCAAACCATCAATGGACAGTGATCCACCCTCCGCTCCTTCTCTCTCCTCTGCTCCATCTGCGCAACTCCTTTCTTCACAGCGCACTGTTCCTTCACTGCTTGAACGTTTTCCACTGCCTCCGCATGTGGACTTTTCTAACCCCTCTAGTCCGTAGGAACCCTTACCTGCGGATTTCAGGTATCTTTATCATTGCCAATCGTGGCCTATTTACAGTAGAATATATGCGGCCTCAGGGGTAATCGGGGTGAGCTTCAGATGTTACTCTCCCAGTTTTCCCCTGTTGGTGTTTGCTTACAGGAA